CTAACACAGCCAGGGTCCAGGCTTCTGTTCCGTGCCCAACAGCCATGGTTCCGGCCTCAGTCATGGCCCCAGCAGCCATGGTTTCGACTCCAGCCCCTCGTCTCCGGTCGACGCCAGCTCCCCGTGTCCTGTCGGCGTACCGGCCGACTCCAGCACCTCGTCTCCTGCTGGCTCTCCAGCCAACGCCAGCTCCCCGAGTCCTGTCAGCATACCGTCCGACTCCAGCACCTCGTCTCCTGCTGGCTCTCCAGCCGACGCCAGCTCCCCGAGTCCTGTCAGCATACCGGCCGGCTCCAGCCCCCCGGGTTCTGTTGGCGAATCAACTCTCTCCGGTCTCCTCTAAAGTTCCTACCCGAGCCCTCTCTCAAGTCTCCTCTCGAGTTCCCTCTCAAGTTCCCTCTCGAGTCTCCTCTCAAGTCCCTGCTCAAGTCCCCTCTCCAGTCTCCTCTCAAGTTCCTACCCGAGTCCCCTCTCAAGTCTCCTCTCGAGTCCCCTCTCGAGTCTCCTCTCGAGTCCCCTCTCGAGTCTCCTCTTGAGTTCCCTCTCGAGTCTCTTCTCAAGTTCCAACCGAGTCCCCTCTCAAGTCTCCTCTCAAGTCTCCTCTCAGGTTCCTACCCGAGTCTCCTCTCAAGTCTCCTCTCAAGTCTCCTCTCGAATTCCCTCTCAAGTCATCTCTCAAGTCATCTCTCGAGTCCCCTCTCAAGTCATCTCTCAAGTCAACTCTCAAGTCACCTCTCGAGTTCCCTCTCGAGTTCCCTCTCAAGTCACCGCTCGAGTTCCCTCTCACGTCACCGCTTGAGTTCCCTCTCAAGTCACCGCTCGAGTTCCCTCTCAAGTCTCCTCTCGAGTCCCTTCTCACGTCCCCTATGAAGTCTCCATTCAAATTCCCTCTCAAGATCCCTCTCAAGTTATCTCTCAAGTTAACGCTCAAGTTTCCTCTCGAGTTCCCTCTCAAGCCCTCTCTCGAGTTCCCACTCAAGTCCCTACTCAATTACCGTTGGAGGTTCCGCTGGGGGTCCTGCCAACCCTATGTCCTGTCCCGTTGGGGGTCCTGCCAGCTCCTTGTCCTGTCTCGTTGGAGGTCCCGCCGTCTACTCTCCTGCCGGGGGTCCTGTCAATCCTATGTCCTGTGCCGTTGGAGGCCCCGCCGACTACTCTCCTGCCGGGGGTCCTGCCAACCGAGTGTCCTGTCCCGTTGTGGGCCCCGCCGACTACTCTTCTGCCGGGGGTCCTGCCAACCCTATGTCCTGTGCCGTTGGAGGCCCCGTCGACTAGTTTTCTGCCGGGGGTCCAGCCAACCCTATGTCCTGTCCCGTTGGAGGTTCCGCTGGGGGTCCTGCCAGCTCCTTGTCCTGTCTCGTTGGAGGTCCCGCCGTCTACTCTCCTGCCGGGGGTCCTGCCAACCCTATGTCCTGTGCCGTTGGAGGCCCCGCCGACTACTCTTCTGCCGGGGGTCCTGCCAACCCTATGTCCTGTCTCGTTGGAGGTTCCGCTGGGGGTCCTGCCAGCTCCTTGTCCTGTCTCGTTTGAGGTCCCGCCGTCTACTCTCCTGCCGGGGGTCCTGCCAATCCTATGTCCTGTGCCGTTGGAGGCCCCGCCGACTACTCTCCTGCAGGGGGTCCTGCCAACCCTGTGTCCTGTCCCGTTGGAGGTCCCGCCGACTATTCTTCTACCGGGGGTCCTGCCAACCCTATGTCCTGTCCCGTTGGGGGTCCCGCCGTCTACTCTTCTGCCGGGGTCCTGCCAATCCTATTTCCTCTTCNAACGCCAGCTCCCCGAGTCCTGTCGGCGTACCGACCAACACCAGCTCTCCGAGTCCTGTCAGCATACCGGCCGACCCCAGCTCCTCGTCTCCAGTTGGCTGTTCAGCCGACGCCAGCTCCCCGAGTCCTGTCGACATACCGGCCGACTCCAGCACCTCGTCTCCTGTTGGCTGTTCAGCCGACGCCAGCTCCCCGAGTCCTGTCGACATACCGGCCGACTCCAGCACCTCGTCTCCTGTTGGCTTTTCAGCCGACGCCAGCTCCCCGAGTCCTGTCGGCGTACCGGCCGACTCCTGCACCTCGTCTCCTGTTGGCTCTCCAGCCGACTCCAGCCCCTCATGTTCTGTTGGCGAACCAACCGTCTCAAGTCTCCTCTCAAGTCTCCCCTCCAGTTCCCTCTCGAGTCCACTCTCGAGTTACCTCTCAAGTCTCTTCTCAAGTACCCTCTCGAGTTCCCTCTCAAGTCCCCTCTCGAGTCATCTCTCAAGTCAATTCTCAAGTTTCCTCTCGAGTCTCCACTCAAGTCCCTACTCGTGTGCCGTTGGAGGTTCCGCTGGGGGTCCTGCCAACCTTATGTCCTGTTCCCTTGGGGGTCCCGCCGTCTGCTCTTCTGCCGGGGGTCCTGCCAATCCCTTGTCCTGTTCCGTTGGAGGCCCCGCCATCTCCTGTCCTGCCGAGGGTCCTGCCAACTCCTGGTCCTGTCCCGTTGGAGGCCCCGCCATCTCCTGTCCTGCCGAGGGTCCTGCCAACTCCTGGTCCTGTTGCGTTGGGGGTCCCGCCGACAACTCTTCTGCCGGGGGTACTGCCAACCCCTTGTCCTGTTCCGTTGGAGTCCCCGCCATCATCTGTCTCGCCGGGGGTCCTGCCAACTCCTGGTCCTCTTCCGTGGGGGATCCTGCCGAGGCCTATCCCACCGGCTCCGGTTCCTGTTCGGCCAACACCGGGCTCTGCTCGGCCTCTGGAGCTGTCTGGTCTTCGCCCTCGAGCCCGGCCCCCTGAGAGCCACAGTCTTCGCCCTCAATCCCGGCCCCCTGAGAGCCGCAGTCTTCGCCCTCGATCCCGGCCCTCTGTGAGCCGCAGTCTTCGCCCTCGAGCCCGGCCTCCTGAGAGCCGCGGTCTTCGCCCTCGAGCCCGGCCCCCTGAGAGCCGCGGTCTTCGCCCTCGAGCCCGCCCCCCTGAGTACCGCTGTCTTCGCCCTCAAGCCCGGCCTCCAGACTTTCCCGGCCGCGGTCCTCGCCCTCATGATCGGCCCCCTGACTTTTCCGGCCGCGGTCCTTGCTCTCATGCTCGGCCCCCTGAGTTCGCCCGCGGCGGCCTTCGTCCGCCCGAGACCCCATCCTTGGACTCTGCCTTGCCCCCGGGCCGTCCACCCGAGACCCCATCCTTGGACTCTGCCTTGCCCCCGGGCGGTCCGCCTGAGTCTCCCTTCTCGGCTTCTGCCTTGCTGGTCCTCTGCTGTGCCCCTGGTCGGTCAGCTCAGTCCCGTCCTCCTGACCCCCTCCACCCACCCTGGTGGTCTAGTGATACCTATGTCTTGTTGTGTGATTAGTCTTGTGTGTATTTTAAGTTCTGGGTTTTCTGTCTGTTTTTGTCGGTTCGTCTTGTGTCATGACTAGTTCTTCGGTGAGTGTTCTGTTTTGTCTTTGTTTGTACCATATAGTCTTGAAATAAAGGACTTTTTCAGTTTATATCTGCATTTGGGTCCTGCTTCCTACACACACCGTGACATGTATTGCTCCTGACAACCCTCCTTTCACTTGCATGTTCATGTAAAAGAATGGATTCAAGTTTCCGTATTGCTTCTTGAATATGACAAGACGTACAGGTCCATTGGGTTCAAAGTAAGTACTTTATTTCTGTCAGTCTGTGAATCTGTGTCTGGTACACTCTTCCAGAGGGACTGAAGTGTTGGTATGATCAATGAAATGTGATGCTGAGCAAGAGGAGAGAGTGGAATCTTCTTTTCTCAAGACTCCATATGTCTGATACCCAAATAGATCCGAGCTGACTGGCTGTCAGTAACAATCGTGTGTTGTATCAGGCTCATCACAGGACCACTAATGTATTAACGCAAGACGGAGAGTGCTACAACTGGGAGGTTCAGGTGGAACAGCGATTGAAATCGAGCGCTGGTGCATGTTGCCACTGTTGGTGTTCCTCTCTCTTAGTGTTGGCTGTTCTTGGGTCCTTTTAAGATCATGTCTTAAATGTATTCCGATTCCAAGCATGTTCACATGTTTGTTCAAAATATTGGACTTGTGAACACCTAAATTTTCTTTGTTGGGTTTCTTTTTTTAAAACATTGCAGTATGGAGTATTGCAATCATCTTCTGAGAGCTTTGCTTTCTGTAGTGAAGAATAATGGGGAAATAAAGCATGAATGCAACCCTCAGTGTGATCTCATTAAACATTACATGAGTTCTTAGGACTATAGATATAGGAGATATAGCAGTAGCTCCTCTGTTTCAAACAGGTATAAAGCAATAAGGAAAGATCTACGATAAAACAGCGTTGCAAACTAAAAGGTGACATGCCAAACGATTGGCAATGGAGAGGAGCAAACCTAATTTGTCGATCGGATTGTTACTTTCAAAGAGGCCCTTTTATGCTTGTTAGTGTTTTCCCTTTCCTGTAGTGTGTTAAACTGTATATGTTTGAATGCATGTAAATGGTCTGTGAAGGCCAATCACAACAGAGCTGTCCAGCTAACCAATCAGAGCAGACTGGGCTCTGGTTTCAGACAGAGGGGGAAAAGAGGTGCTGCAGCACAGGCAGGATGAGAGAAATAAAGAGCTTTAGAACATTAGAGCACCGAGACATGTCCCAGGAGAGACACAGGATACTGATATGAACCTGGAGATGAGCTCAATATGGCACCTTTAAGACAAGCAACACATGTCCTTTGTGTCACAGGACAAAGAATGGGACTAGGAAAATAATTAGGTCATCTTAATCTAACAGACACTACAAAGCAATATTCATAACTGACAAACAGTACATCACAGTTTTGCTTTTATCTACAATTGGCACATTTGTTCTTGTCAAGACAAATAGATAAAAGAAACAAACATCAAAAGCAATCTTCCATTCAATAAGACATTACGTTTTAAAGTTCAGTCCTAACAGCTCTGCTGAGCAAACCATCTTTAGCGTTATGAAAGACACACCAGGTGTCATTGATGTAAGACGTTGAACATGCCAGATAAAGACTCCTACACTTTGCTTACTGGCAGGAATCGTGTTGACGGTTCCATTTTGACATTTCATTTTTGAAGAAATTGGAATTGTGTGCTATGTGATAGACTGGTGAACTGTCCTGAGTGTACCCTGCCCCCCCCCCACCCGCCCTATCCACGCGAGGCTAAGCTCCAGCTCTCCGCCAACCTGAACAGCATAATGAGTACTGAGACCGGCTGGTATGCATGGACAGACTCTGATCTTCTTCTTTTTAAAAACCTGTCTATCCCAATAATATAGCATATATAACATATTTCAGTGCTAAAGTCCAGGCTTTCTTACTCTTATATCATGCATTGGTCCTGAGCCAAATGCATTTCAGGTGATAACTGAAGGGACTGTGATAGAGCACGAGAATGAAAAGTAGGGCAGCTTGCCATTCGCCGTATCAGGAAGGAAGTACTTGTAGGAAAGGGACTCAGACTAAATGTGACTGCACCGTGCTGCTTTTTGCTCAAATTGCTCATCTCATTTCAGGCTGTTAAAGTGACCTGGCCACTGAGGTCAACCAGCAGGACAGGCCATCAGGAATTCTCCGAGGACCTCCGATGGCCATCTGGAACCAGCGTGTAAACAAACCACAGCTGCGTCTGGAATCACTCCCTCACAGCCCCTCATCCACTGCATGATAAATGCTCTCTGGTGAGCAGTATATCTTTTTCCAAGTTATCATTAGCTTCATCACTGACAGGTGCTGTGATTTACTGCACATCTATTCAATACGAAGCATTGCATAATAGGAGTTCCACTCCGACATAGAGACATTTCACTTTTTGAATTCACAAAAAACATTGAGACAAAATCTCATTTCAAAGTTGACCTGGCCAAGAAGGCAGCAACGTTACACAATCAGTTTTTTTGTATTGTCAACATTTAATAAAACATTTATATATACTAGGGCTGTCAAACGATTAACATTTTTAATCAGATTAATCACAGCTTAAAAATGAATTAATCATGATTAATCACCGTGATTAATCATGATTAATTCATTTTTAAGCTGTGATTAATCTGATTAAAAATGTTAATCGTTTGACAGCCCTAGTATATATAAATGTTTTATTAAATGNATAAAGAAATGGCATATTTTGGACATAGTTCGAATGGTGATTAATCATGATTAATTCATTTTTAAGCTGTGATTAATCTGATTAAAAATGTTAATCGTTTGACAGCCCTAGTATATATTGTCCTAGTCTCCCTTTGTCTTGTGCCAGTTCGTCTTGTTGTGTCAAGTAGACTACCAGCACCTATCGCCAAGCCAGGATCATTGTTCTGC